ATTCCTGCCCAAAAATAGCCCTGGATCTAGACACCTTGTAGCATGACATTTCATTCATATCAAAAAACAAAGAACTTTCCACCAGCTGAGAATTCTTTTGTTCATCGCCATTCATTAGCCACGCAATTTGGTTAACCTTCAGCTATGCTTCAACACCCTCAATAGCATAGTATCAGATAAGTAACATTCTACCTGCCCAAATTTTCAACTGCAGGCTCTCCACAACAGTCTTGCAGAGTTAGGCACATGTAAACCCATGGAAATCAGTGGATTTGAATTCACCTAACTCAGCCTAAGACTGACTAGTAGAGAAAGATGCAGTGAACCAAACCTGACATATTCCAGCAGTTTGATCAGTTGTTCCTAGAACTGCATTTTTCAGCCTGGACTTGGAAACCAAAACACAGGAGAAACAGGCTATAAACATTTGTTGTTGTTCAGTCGCACAGTCGAGTCCGACTCTTCGCGACCCCATGGACTAGATCCCGCCAGGCCCTCCTGTCTTCCGCTGTCCAGTGCTAAACACACAGTTGGTGCTGAGATCGCTGGACATTTCCTAGTAATGTCAGGGTATTTTAGGCACAGTCTTAATTTAATAAAACCAGCAGTTTGAGCATCCTTGTCATTCATTACTAAGAAGAGCAACAGTCTTAAATTTGATTTTAGATCATTTTAGGAGTTCAGATCATTTTAGGAGTTCAGATCATTTTAGGAGTTCAGCAGTCCAAGTTCTATACTGCCCAATTAGTTTAATGTACGGACATCCCAAAATGTCGGTTTCTGCTTGCTGATTTAGTTGGCCAGCACTTTGGAGACTGCTGATTCTGTATGCTGTCCTTTAACGTTTCCCAAGCCAGCCATGCTGAATTCTTCTCTCCCCGTTCTTTTAACCCTAATACCCTCCTACCATCATCCTGACTGCAGTGTTGATCTGAATTTTGTTTTTTAAAGGTGCTCTTCACAAGACTAGAGACAGCGGCTTATCAGGCATGAGCAAAAAATTAGGTTTGGGGTTTTTTTTAATAGTAATTCATCCATACCACGATTGGGGACATTTTGGCTCTGGCATTTTATTAGAAATGATAGCTTTAATTTTTACAAGAAAAAATTCAAGCTTCCTTTTATCAATGAGATTTTATCCTACCCTTCCTCCAAGGAGCTCAGGGTAAAGTACAGGGTTCTCTCTTCTCCACATTTTTCCCTCACAGCATCCTTTACCCTATTTTATTCTGTTATGTACGCGAGGCTGAGAAAGAGCAACTGGCCCAAGATTTCTCTGTGAGCTTTGTGGATTTGAACCCAAGTATCCCAGGTCCCAGTCTGAAATTCTTACAACTACGCCATCCTGGCTCTCCTTTCCAAGAAGCCTAGGAACGTAAGGGCACTTGATATTGAAGCAGCAAGCTCCAGTGAAATTCACAGGGCTTGGTTCCAATCCAACTCGCATGGGAGAATGCTGATCTAGTTAATTCACTTTAATAACCTGGGGAAAGTTATGTTTACATGTGTTACTTAACAATGACTTCCACTACAGCTCCTGGCAAACAAGGGCCAACTTTTACATGAGTTACATACGTGGTTTGTGTTCTTTGAAACCTTGACCTTAGAATAGGTCACTCTGCTCTCCAGGCTTCAGACAAGTGGCAGATACAGTTATGGAAACATTTGAGTCCAGGAGCACCTTTAAGACCGACAATGTTTTATTCAAGGTATGACCTTTCGTGTGCATGCACAGTTCCTCAGATACAATGCAATGGAATTTACCCGTCCGTTCACATAAGGCAAAGGCTGAGCAGCAAATCAGCAACAGATAATGATGTTTTAACACATGCAAACAGGAATAACACGCTAAGTTTATAAGGTCACCACACAGTCCCGAAATCCCCGGGGGGGGGGGAGGCGTGGCTAATTGCCCCGGCACAGTTTGATCCGCTATTACGCGATCAGACGCGCCTGCGGCACACCACAGGTCCTTCCCTCGGCGCCAGCACGATCACACCACGGGCGTCTGGAGGCAGCCCGTGGCAAACGTTTATTAGTACCTTGGAGGTACTAGTTTTTTTTTGTTGGCGGTAAGCCACGGGTGCGCTCCACTTCGCAGATGTTGGGGTGTGATCGCGCCCGGATAATCCGCCCACCATCCGTGCCTCTCGTGCGGCAACTTTGCCATGTGACTGGGGCCACCGTTTGGATTTAATTCGGGGGGGGTGGGAAGCAGTGAAGCAAACAAATATGTCAAAATCGACTGGTTCTACTGCTTCAGACCAACACGGCTACCCACCTGGATCTATACTTATGCCAAGTTTGCAACAGATAAAAAGTTTCCAACTAGTTAATGACCGACGCTGAACGACTGCGTAACGCTTTCACGTACTCATAAAACTCCGATTTATTTGCTTGCTTTGTAAATATGCTACGCGTAGCCCATTACCCCCTTCTGCTACTGGGTAACTGGGAAGAGAGAAAAGAAGGCAGGGCAGCCCTTCTGGAGAGCTCCCCTCTTTCCCCCTCGTCAAGACCACCCCCGGAGACTCCCTCTCACCTGCCCCCGCCCGACCCCGCGACCTTGGGCCGAGCGCCCGCACCAGCCTAGCAGCCACGCGGCACCGGAACATGACGGCGGTGACGGCTACGAGCACCGGCCGCGGCCACCTGCGCTCCCGTTCCCACCGCCTGTGAAAGGGGGAGAAGAACGGTTCGTTCTGCGCATGCGCATGCCGATGGCATTGCGCAGGCGTACTCTCGCGCGGCGGCGACACCGCTCTAGGACGCCAGTTCTCCGTGCTCTTGGTGGAGGCGGGCAGCGGTCTCCTCTGGCAGCCGCGCCTCGCTCGCGACATGCGGATACTTTTGCCGGTCTTCCTGCGGCCGCTGTGGGGGAGACGGTGCTGCCGCCGTCGCCAAAGCTGCGCCTCTCCCGGCCGCCAGCTCCTCTCCACGCCCATCTTTTACGCGAATGGCTCTCCGCACATCGGGCACCTTTACTCGGCGCTTCTGGCCGACGCGCTGCACCGGCATCGAGAGCTGCACGAGCGGGGAGGGCGCTTCGCTACCGGTCAGTGGGGTGGGAGGGGTGGCGACGGCGGCGGCTGTAGTGGCGGGAGTAAAGCCGCTGCAGATGCCAGTTTAGAGAGGGAACCAGCCGCGCTCTAGGGACTAAATGCAACCGGCGTACAAGTCTAAGTTCGTTTTTGTGGTGGGTTTTGCGCTGCTGCAACAGACTGACGCGGCTGGCTGCCTTGATTGACTTGCGCTGCAACTTTTCGCAGTATAGAACTGGGCACGCTTAGCTGGTGCGGAACGCTCGATGGAGACCCAAGCAGAGAGAGAGAGAGAGACAGAGAGAGAGAGACAGAGAGAGGCCCGTGGGGAATGTCTCCAGGCGTGAGGTGCTTAGTTTTAGGCAAGGCAGTTACTAGGTTTTATGGATCATTTGGGGAGAGGGGGTGTCTCTTCCTTTAATCTGTCCATCCATGCGTCTCTTTTTAATAGTTCCTAAACTGCCCTGAGGAGCTGCGGTGGCTCAAGTGGTTAAGACGCTGAACGGCAGGCTGTGGAAGGTCGGTAGTTCAGCAGTTCAAGACCCGAGTGTGCCCTGACGGAGTGAGCTCCCGTCTCTAGTTCCAGCTCCTGCCAACCTAGCAGTTCGAAAGCAAGAAATTGCAAGTAGATAAATAGGTACCACTTCGGTGGGAAGGTAACAGCGTTCCTTGCGCCTTGGTGTTTAGTCATGCCGGCCACATGACCACGGAAACGTCTTCGGACAGCGCTGGCTCTTCGGCTTTGAAACGGAGATGAGCACCGCAACCCTAGAGTCAGACTTGACTGGCTTTTGAGCAAGGGAAACCTTTACCTTTGCTGCTGCAACAGACTGACGCGGCTGACTGTCTTGATTGACTTGCGCTGCAACTTTTCGCAGTATAGAACTGGGCACGCTTAGCTGGTGCGGAACGCTCGATGGAGACCCAAGCACACAGAGAGAGACAGAGAGAGAGAGACAGAGAGAGAGAGAGACAGAGAGAGAGAGAGAGAGAGAGAGAGACAGGCCTGTGGGGAATGTCTCCAGGCGTGAGGTGCTTAGTTTTAGGCAAGGAAGTTACTAGGTTTTACGGATCATTCGGGGAGAGGGGGTGTCTCTTCCTTTAATCTGTCCATCCATGCGTCTCTTTTTAATAGTTCCTAAACTGCCCTGAAGCTCTCTGGGCCACTCAGAGACTCTCAGCCTAACCTACTTCATAGGGTTGCTGTGAATTTGGTTGTCATCGCTCATAGCCATTGACAGCATTTTTCTCCATGGATGTTTGTGATTTGGGGGAGGCATGCTCATCTATAATAGTGTGAATTAAGTTTAAATGTCAGCTGTGCTTATCAGTCTTCACCTGCTCCCTGCAGTCCAATTTCTTATTGGTGGGGCAAGTGCACAGTTGCCAAGCCAACTCCAGGTTGGAAAATTCCTGGAGTTTTTGGGGGGGCAGAGCCCGGGGAGGGGACGGACATGAGGAAGATATAATGCCATAGAATGCACCCTCCAAAACAGCTGTTTTCTCCAGGTGAACTGATCTCCTTCGTATGAAGTTCCTAAACTGCCCTGGAGATCTCCAGACCCCACCTGGAGGTTGGTAACCTTAGGCAAACAGTACGTACATTGTTGATGTATGGGGAAAAGAGCTTGGTAATGCTATAGACGGAATTCCTGCAGTTCCCCAGAGACAGTTAGTTAGAGGCAGAGTTAGAGCCCTGGAGATCTCCAGACCCCACCTGGAGGTTGGTAACCTTAGGCAAACAATATGTACATTGTTGATGTATGGGGAAAAGAGCTTGGTAATGCTATAGACGGAATTCCTGCAGTTCCCCAGAGGCAGTTAGAGTTAGAGGCAGAGTTAGAGGCAGGATTGAATTCTTTGTCCATCATGCTGTCCTGTTTCTCTGCCCAGGAACAGATGAACATGGGCTGAAAATCCAGACGACAGCTGCGGCGGCAGGCAGTTTGCCTCAGCACTTCTGCGATCGTGTGTCAGCGGAATTCCAGGAGCTCTTTACCCAGGCAGGCATCTCTTATACTGACTTCATCCGCACCACGGAGCCACGGCATAGACAGGCAGTGGAGCACTTCTGGATCACCCTGCGGGAACGGAGCTGGCTTTATCGGGCCAAATACGAAGGCTGGTACTGCACTGCTGAGGAGACTTTCCTAGCGGCTTCTCAGGTCACTGAGCGCCCTGACTCCCACGGCTGCCGGCACATGGTCTCACTGGAAAGCGGCCACCAGGTACCAAGAAGGAAAACTGTATGAGTTCCTACTATGCCTTATAGTAAGATCTGCTAGGAAGGCCCTGCTTTGAATTCCTTCACTTAAGGAAGTATCCTCCTGGGTATGGATCAGCACCTTCTCTGTGGTGGCCACATATTTATGGGATTCGTTACCCAGAGAGGCCCAGTTCTGCCCAAGAACTGGGATGTTTAGGGAAAGTCCATTCCACAAAAAATTCTACTCCCTTGCAACTATATATGTGTGTGTGAGTGAGAGAGAGTGGGTATAAGAGGCAAAGTGATTCAATTTAGCCCACACCAAACCATGGTTACAGACACTAAGTTATGGCTTAGTATGATGTCTGAACTAACAAACTACAGTTTATGATCAGTTAGCAAACCCAGAATTAGAATTTATTTATTTATTAAACCAGAGTTTGATACATGTTTTCCAACCATGATTTGATAAGATACCTAAATTGATAGCCATCGTTGTGGATGTAGTTCTGCCTCCCGGATGATGTTGCGCCAGAGATCCAGGAGTGCTGAGCAGTTAGAAATAATGGTTTGTGTGTTGCGTATTTGGAAGCTCAAACTGTGGTTTGGATTCTAAACTGTAGTTAGAGCAAACCATGGCTTGGTGCGATAATTCAATTGAATGAGAAGAGGAACAGACAGCCAGGCCAATGGAAACACTGTGACCCATTTCTCTCTTGCTTCAGGTACACTGGACCAATGAAGAAAACTACATGTTCAGACTATCTGAGTTCCAGGAGCCACTGCTGAGATTGCTCCAGGAGAGTAGGCTTACCATAACCCCTGAGCCATTCTACCAGCAGGTGCTCCAGTGGCTGAAACAGGATCTGCCAGACCTTTCCGTATCACGTGACCGAAACCGACTGCAGTGGGGCATCCCTGTCCCCGGAGACTCAACGCAAACCATCTACGTCTGGGTGGATGCCCTGGTGAACTACCTCACTGTTGTGGGTTATCCTGACGCACACCATGACTGGTGGCCTGTGGCCTGCCACATTGTGGGCAAAGATATCCTCAAGTTCCACGCCATCTACTGGCCTGCCCTACTGATGGCAGCTGGGTTGGACCCTCCAGAGCAGATCTTTGTCCACTCCCATTGGACAGCGCAAGGACAAAAGATGTCGAAGAGCCTGGGCAACGTGGTGGACCCAAGAGCCTGTTTCCAGCGATATACAGTGGATGGGTTTCGGTATTTCCTGCTCAGACAGGGTGTCCCCGAGCGAGACTGCGACTACTATGATGAGAAGGTCGTCAAGTTGGTCAACTCAGAACTGGCAGATGTCTTGGGAGGGCTCCTCAATCGCTGCACAGCCAGCAGCCTGAATCCCAGTGGGACCTACCCGCGTTTCTCAGAAGCCTGTTTCCCTAAAGACGTGGGTGCTCAGAATGGAAGGGGACTTGGCAAGGCTTCTGCAGAGGACTACAAGCTAGTGTCTTCAGTGAAGGAGCTTCCTCTGCAAGTGAGCCGTGACTTCGAACGCTTTCGGATCTACAAGGCTTTGGAATCCATTATTGACTGTGCAAGGCAGACCAACGGCTTCATCCAGAGGCATAAGCCCTGGAAACTGAGTCGTGACGATCCCTCGCAGCAGCAGTGGTTGGACACCATCCTCCATGTCACCCTGGAGTGTCTTCGGGTTTATGGGCTCCTCCTGCAACCGGTGATTCCTTCCACTGCCGATAAGCTGCTCACCAGGCTAGGCGTTGGTCCCTCAGAAAGATCTTTAAGGGACTTGGCATTTCTGTCTCGCTTCCATGATGAGCGGTGCCCTTTTGAAGGGAGGAACCTTGGTTCTGACACTGGGCTCTTGTTTCCCAAGCTGGAGAAATCCAAAGCCAGAAGCCATGGGGGTCTTTAAACATTTAACTACTAAATCTGCAGGTGACAGTTTGGGAGTAAAATTGGCTACTGTTGTCTAAGGATGATGTCTTGGCAAGTGAGTGTTGGCGCAGGGTGTGTATGCTCTTTCCGGTTGGTGTTGCAACAGCACCTTCTGATAAAGTAACCTGCCCAAATTTTGAGATGGCATAATAAGCAGGCCCGTAGCTACAGTGGGGCATTTCAGGGCCCTGCCCTCTTAATTTAAAAGCCCTGCTCCACAAATAGCCATGCCAGAAATCTTATTTTTGAGGAGAGACAACCCCCACCCCCAGCAGCCAGGTGAGACTCAGTTTGCCTTCAGGCTTCCCTCTTCCTCCCACTGTAAAATTGGGAGGGGGGTATCATGGGACCTGGGAAGAGACAGCTCAGAGGGTGTTTAATTTCCTTCAGAAAGCATTTCATTACCTTTTGAGTTCCCTTCCACAGGGCCAGAAAGCTTAGAAAGGCACAAGAGTGGCACCTTCAGTACATCTCCAGCAAGCCCCCTTTCTGCTAGCCCAGTCCTGTTGTATACCATCTAAGTCATGGTGAGTCTTTCAAAAGCATTCCCATGAGCCTTTGGGAAACATGCAAACTAAATTGAGTGCCTTTCTAAGCTTTCTTGCCCCGTGGAAGGGACTCAAAAGGCATTGAAATGCCTTCTGAAGGCAAGTAAATGCCCTCTGAGTGGCTGTTTCCTAAGAACTGACACACTTGCTACCCTGTCCCTTGAAAGGAAGGGCTGGAAACAGGCTTGGAGCCCCTCTCCCTTTAAAGACAGGCTTTCAGATTAATTTAATTAACTGTCATTTAACTGCTCCCTTCAAGTTTCAAATGCTCCCAAACAAAAAGATCCTGCCCACGGGCCTGATAATAACACAACTCTTTACCATGAACGTGTGGGTCCCTGCCTTCCTGCAGTTGCCCCCCTTTCCCCCCCGGCACTTTCAGACTGGCACCCGACCCTCTAAACCTACCAAAGCAAGAGAACTACAGATCACAGTTGTGCCCAGATGCCTTTGACTACCATCACCTTTTGGCTTACTGACCAATGGTGGCATCCTGGTTTGGTTTGCTGTTTTTAAATGCAGTCTCATTGGTGTCGCCCTTTTGCATTTGCTGCAGTTTAGTTCTGACCTCCAAACAGACGCAAGAATGAACGGATTTGGGCAGAGAGTTAAGCCAATGAAGCCACATTGCAGCCTGAACCTTTGGGAGTGGCGTAGCTTGTTTCCAAGTAATAACCAAGATGAACACTACCTGCAGTTTCACCATTTATTAGGGGGGGTATTGAAGTCTGTTCGTCAGCAAAACTCACTATTCAGAAGAAAAAAATTATCCCCCTGTAGAGGTGTCACTATTTCAGTTGTTCAGCTGAATCCATACAATGCAGCAACAGATATGTAGAAACAGTTTCTGTATCTGCTAGTGTTCCTTTGCTGTGCTATGGATGTTGAGTACCCATCCCCCCTCAACCCCTGCACAGGTAAAGGGGATCGCAGGACTCCGTCTCTGTTCCTTTGTGCTGTTCTCCCCAGTAAATTTCATTCCTGACTCAAAGGGCATCACCAGAGGTCATCCCCCACTAGCAAAAGCCACGCTGAGTGGTGCCTGTGGTTTCAGGTTCCAAAGGAGTAGCCCTTTGCGTTCTGGATCACAAAAGCTTGTGCCATGAAAAATGTGTTAAGTTTTGAGGTTCCACAAAACTGTTTTGTTGTTTTGGCTGCCATGGGCTTAACATGGCTCCCCTTCTGGAATTTGTCAAACCATTGCAACAAAAGCAATGATGATGTGGCACTTCAAAGCCTAATGTATGTATTGTTGGCTTATTATACCACAATACGGTGGTGCAGGACTCTTCGTTGTATATGTACATTCACATGTGTATTCAAGGGCTTGCTTCTCAATGGATGACCTTATTGCATCACAAGGCATTGCATGAGAAGCGGAAAGTTTTATATGTGATTGGTGCTGTGATATATGCACTACGTTTAGCACGATGCTGGGACTGAGTAAGAGTTGAACGTGTGTGTGTGAACCAGCCATGTCTAATACACCCCTTTGCTCATTCCCCCTGACATCTTGCTTCTAGAATGGTATTCCTGGTATTTATTTACTTTATAGCCTACCTTTCTCCCTGTGTCAAGGCAGATTATGGAATACAAAAAGATGCAATCCACCACCATAAAACAATCAGTGAACAATGGCATAGGATGCCAGAACTAGGAATCAGTGCAAACAATGAATTGTCTCATGCAAGACATCAATGAACAATGCAATAAGATCAGGATGTGTTGCAGTGAAATCCTAAACACGGTTACACCCTTTTATGTCCAATGAAGTCAACAGCCTGTGTAGGTCAGTACTGTTAAATTCTCCACCAAGAAACAGGGAAAGCAAATGACAAAACCATATCTCAACGAATTTATGCATGAGACCTAAGTGCTGGAGGAAATTGGAGCGACTCTACCAGGAGTAAGAAGGGGGTGATTTCTATCGATTTCTTACTGATGGATGAAACGCCACCTCTGCAAGTGACTGTAGATTTATGGATGCTATAAACGTCTCACCCCGTTGCAGCCAATCCTGGAAGCTACAGGAGGTGAAGCAATTTTTAATTGAGGCAGGAGTGCAGTGCTGGAGGTGATCCCAGAAGAGCTTGTGGCTGAACCAACCTTTAAGAGTAATTAATGTAATTAAAACCTTTGGATACCAGATACGGCCAAGCAAGCTCAATCTTGGCCCTTTTTATGTGTGAAGCAAATACCCTTAATTTAAGTGGCTGTTAGGACTGTAGTCAAGAACTTTAGAATTGCAATGGTTTGTCTTTAGGAACAAGCAAAGGACCCATGCAGGACTGAAAGATCATCTGAAATTGAGGAGAACAGTCACAAAGCGAATGTACATGAAAAAGAGTGACAAAAGATCCTTTATTACAAGTTGCACTACAGATGTTTTAATATTCTGAGAGCAAAATAAAACCTTTCCTCCAAGTTACTTTTTAAAATGCAAAATAAACTATTTTAATCCATCCATATTTTTAAAAAAGTAACAATGCAGAAATCCCCACTACACCACATTTGCTGTCACATTGAGCTGAGCTGTTGAAATTTCTGTGAACAAGCACAAGTTGATACAACCCCATTCTTCTGGCCCCAGTTTGCATGTGCACATGTCAGGAAAGCTGGGTGGGAAATGGGAAAATTAAGAGTCAGCTACACTGAAAGTGCAATCCTAAACAGAGTTATACCCTTCTAAATCCATTGAGGTCAGTGGGCTTAGACAGGTGTAATTCTGCTAAGGATGTAAGATATTATACATTCTAACTAGTTGGGCTGCAACCCATTTTAATCAGTTATAATTGAGTACAACATATGTGATGACGAGTTCGTTCTACATATATTTGTGTAGGAATAAAATAGTTCTAAAGAAATAAGCATTCACTCTGTACTGGATATTTCCTCTTTTGTGGGGGAAAAAGATGGAATGTTCTTTCTAAGACACCACCAGCCTTAAAAAGCAATACGTTTTGGAAAATGTTCCATCAGAGTTTGGGTGGGTTTTTTTCATCTATTAAAAATTAATGGGAGTATGCAAAAAAATCTTACAATTCAAGCCAAAAGCTTTATAACACCTTTTATTAGGACCAATCAAAATGAAATAAAAACAGGGTGCATGTTTTAAAAAATGAGTGAGGGGTCAGAAAATTTCTTAGGTTGCAGTAAGAATGCTTTCCTGGGACTCGGCCCATTATATAAAACTGATCAAACTGATTAGGATTGCTTCTGTCAGCTATGATCTTAAGGATATTAGTATCCAGTGTGAAACGCTGAGCTGGTATGTAGATTTAAAGCACTGCTGATGTCAGGCAACACCCTTGGCTGCCTTAGAGGAAGCAAAAAAAATATCTCAGTAGAAAACAGATGTGCTTTTTCACATAGGAGACAGACAGACAACCTTTATTGGCATATCAGAGATAAAAGTACATTCAAATTTAGGAATACATCAAAAATATGGCTGTCATACAAACAATCAGCAAGAAAAAAAACCTGATCAGTTTACAGTTTCCCTGATTTGAATTGCAGATTGAAGAAAACAGGCAACGTTGCAAGTTATAGAAGAATTTTGCCCCGAGAGTAGCAACTGGACTTTGACACTCTCAGGGAGACCACGCCAGTTAAAAAGAAGGGAGTCCAGAAATTTATCCCGGGTCTTAGTATAAAATGGGCAATTTAAAAGAACGTGGGCAACAGATTCAATGGCACTCTGACTACAAGGGCATTGTCTAAGTTCATAAGGGATTTTATGGCATCTGCCAGAGAAGATAGCCGATGGCAATACGTTAAATCTGGCTAACATAAATGCCCTTCTTTGATGGGGGTCAGTTAAAGAGCAAAAATAAGTAGCTCTCTGGCCCAGTGTCTGGGGTAATCCCAGATGAATTGTAGAACAAGTTTTCCTAGCAGCCTCAGTCAGGCACTGAAACTGAATACCTAAAAGCCTGCATTTGATTGTATGGAATGTTGTGGAGGCAGATGATAAATAAAGCGGATCTAAAGGTATTCCTAAGGACCTAAATTTCTTTGGACTGATTTCAGCCAATTAGGTTCACAATGATCTGTCAGCATTAAAAAGGTAAAAGAATTCGGGTCGGGATTAAACAGAAGGCACAACCAAAATTTGATGGTCAAAAGCCAGGCCCGAGTTTCTGGGGACATCTGACCGATTGGGACACAATGAGGAAGTCCAAGGATTTTCCACAAAAAGAAGGATTCTAAACCCTCTGCTGATTGGTTAATTGCACTTATCCAAATGGGAGTGCCATATAGGAATTCTGAACTAGATTTTGCGTTAAAGACTTTTACGGCCATTGGGACATATCGCCTCTCATGTAGAAAAAGCAGGTGATGGCCTCAGCACTGTTTCTTGCTAGAGTAGTAGCACATTTGTGATGAGTAGCCCAGCTCCCACTGTGGTAGAAATTGATCCCTAAGTTTT